ACCTATATGTATGATTAATATGAAGAGCTATATGATTATGTGATTAAACATCTGTAGTTATGATTACATATAAATAGCTATATGATGATTACATATGAATAACTATATCTCTAATTCTTTTTTCTGGGTTTTTTTTATTGCATTTTAGGTTTTGGGGTACATGTGAAGAACATGCAAGATTGCTTACTAATTCTACACTTATATGAGAACATGCTGAGACTTCAGGCCCTTGCCTCGGCTCTTGCTGGGTTTCCCCCCACAGCTTAACAGTTACTAGCAGCTTATTCCTTGACAAGAAAGGAAACTTTAAAAGGAACCTTTCAACTTCCCACAGGCGTATTTTTAACCGGTGATGTATTCACGTTTCAGCACTGAAAAGGCTCCGTCGGACCCCTGCATTCCCAGTTCTCTTCATAATTACGAATTTTTTTTTTTTTTGAGACGGACTTTCACTGTTGTTATCCAGACTGGAGTGCAATGGCACGATCTCGGCTCACCGCAACCTCCGCCTTCTGGGTTCAGGCAATTCTCCTGCCTCAGCCTCCTGAGTAGCTGGGAATACAGGCACGCGCCACCATGCCCAGCTAATTTTGGGGATGGTCTCGATATCTTGACCTCGTGATCCACCCGCCTCGGCTTTCCAAAGTGCTGGGATTACAGGCGTGACCACCCTGCCCGGCCTCATAATTACGATCTTTTTTGATGCACTTAGCTCCGTGTTCCTCCAGAAAGCGGCCGCTTTGTTCCAACCGCCTAGCGCTGCGCAAAGCAAGTGCCAGTAACTGTTGAATGGCTCAGGGCTCCGAGCGCAGGGCCGTCCTAGGACGAGGCGGATGATGTGCTGCACCTCAGTTGGTTTTCGAGATGGACCCTCAGAAACCGCCCCGTGGGCCTCCAAAGGGGCAGATGCTCCAGCCTCCGGGACAGAATGAACGTGAGCGAAAGGCTGGAACAACCGCGCCGGCGCAGCGAGGAACTTCCGCTTAGAGCGAGGGCGGAAATGCCGCCCCTCCTGGGTGCCCGCCCCAGCCTCGCTCCTCTTGATTCCCCCGTCCCCTGCCCAGCCCCTCCCAGTTGCGCATGCGCCGGGTCCTGACCTGGAAGTGGCTGCATCCGGGGCATGCGTGTTTCCATGAGTGTGGCGGAGATGGGGAGCCAGGAACCCTCCGAGCCCCCGTCGCCGGGAGACGCGACGCAGAACAGCGCCCGGCCTGCGGACCGCCAGGCCTGTTGAAACACAGCTGTGGGTTCTTGGACTTCTGGGACATTGCGAAGCCTGAGCAGGAGACGCGACTTGTGGCCGAGAAGCTGCCGGAGTATCTGCGCGCTAGGCCGAAGATGGAGCGGCGGGTTTGGGGCAGGGGCCGCGCACTTCCCGACAAGGAAGCGGCGGCGGGCCCAGGGATTTGGGATGGGGGCACGTGGTCGCGAACCTGGATGATAAGGTGGACGGGGTGTGCAGCTTCTTGTCACCGTTCAACGCGAGGGTGCGCTTGGTTCCGCAGGGGTCTGAGATGAAATACGCCCTGAAGCGGCTAATCACGGGACGGGACTCGGGGTCTGGCGAGAAACAGCCCGGCCCTGCTACAGTTTGGCCCTGGCACAGGTGAGGTGCTGTTCCTGGCAGGATCCCAGCCACGCAGGTGAAAACGGTGGGGTGTGAGGAGGGCGGGTGTCTCAGCGCGACGGTGGGGCAGCCCGACAGAGAAGTCGGGAGTGTGTTGGAGGCCAGCCTGAGGGAGCCTCCTCACATGAAGGTGGAGAAAGCGTGAGCAAGGCCTGTCTCCAAAGCAGTCCAGGCAGGGGGAGTGGGAAGCAGAGCAGGTTTTCTTTCTGGTGCTTGCGTTACCCGGCCTCTTAGGTACACTTGCTGGGAGCAGTGAGCGCTGGGTGGGGTGGGCTCCCTTAGGCCTGCAGGGCATTCAGCTGATTGGAGTAGCCCGCTCTCTGAGGAGCCCTGACAAGGGGAAGAGCAGTTAAGACCCAGGCCCGCCGGATCAGCCTGAGTGGAGCTCAGACCGGGCTATGGAGAGAAGACCCAGTGGCTGAGAATATCCAGGGACTGTAGAAGGTACTTTTGTGGCTAGGAGCGGTGGTGGCTCACACCTGTAATCCCAGCACTTTGGGAGGACGAGGCGGGTGGATCACCTGAGGTCAGGAGTTCGAGACCAGCCTGGCCAACAGGTTGACAACCCATCTCTACTAAAAATACAAAAATTAGCTGGGTGTGGTGGTGCACACCTGTAATCCCCAGCTACTGTGGGTGCTGAGGCAGGAGAATTGCTTGAACCTGAGAGGTGGAGGTTGCAGTGAGCAGAGATCACGACACTGCACTCCAGTCTGGGCAATGGAGCAAGACTCCATCTCAAAAAAAAAAAAAGGAAGCTGCCAAGGCTCAGCTCCAGTCCCAGTCCCAGAACCACTTGCAGACGGTACTTCAGAAATCCTAGCGGAGATGGGGCAGGGAGGCAAGATTCGTTTCCGAGAGCAGCTTCAGAGGCATTCATGGGGTGCGACTAGGCACCCAAGGCTTCCTGGGAGGCCCTCTTCCTCCTGGCAGCTGTTACAGTCTTTTGAAGACCTCCATTTGTGCAGCATCCTGCAGCAGATACAAGAAAAATATGACTTGCATCAGGTGAAGAAGGTGAGAGAGGGCCTGGGGAGGTCAGTAGCCCCGGGGGTGAGAGGCTGGGGGTGGGAAGTCCCACGGCCCCTCATGCTGTGCCTGGAATCCTTTTCTAGTCAATGGTGAGACCTGCTGTCTTTGCAGACCTGTTCAGAGTGCTCGCCCTCTTTCAGTCAGGCTGGCTGGTGAAGGTGAGAACTTTGGGAGGACGGTGGGGTGGGGGGTGTAGGCTGGTCTTGGATGGGTGGGGGACAGTAGTGGTCCCTGCTCATACCCTCTGCCCCTTTGTGGGGACCAGGACCAGGAGGTGCTGAGGAAGTCAGTGAAGCTGCTGCAGGCCCTGGCCCAGTATCAGAACCACTTGCGGTGGACATTCTCTTCGAGGTATGAGCTCACCAGCCTTATGGGCTCGGGAGACACTTCCTGCTACAAAGACATAAAGAGGGCTCAGATGAGAATCAGGAACAGCACTGTTCCATAGAAATATAAAGACATATAATTTGAAGTGTTTCAGTGACTTTGTTGAAAAGGTAAAAAGAGGCCCGGCACAGTGGCTCATGCCTGTAATCTCGGTACTTTGGGAGGTGGGTGTATCACCTGAAGTCGGGAGTTTGAGACCAGCCTGACCATATGGAGAAACCCTATCTCTACTAAAAATATAAAAAAATTAGCCAGGCATGGTGGCATATGCCTATAATCCCAGCTACTTGGGAGGCTGAGGCAGGAGAATCATTAGAACCCAGGAGTTGGAGGTTGTAGTGAGCCGAGATCATGCCATTGCACTCCAGCCAGCCCAAGCCATATGAGAGTGAAACTCTGTCTCACAAAAAAAAAAGTTAAAAAGTCATTAGTAACATTTTACATCATCTAGTATATCTAAAATATTATTTCAGTATGCATTTGTATACAAAACTGTTGAGCTGGCAGGGCACAGTGCCTCATACCTGTAATCCCAGCACTTTGGGAGAGCGAGGTGGGTCAATCACGAGGTCAGGAGTTCGAGACCAGCCTGGCCAACATGGTGAAACCCTGTCTCTACCAAAAATACAAAAAATTAGCCAGGCATGGTGGCAGGCACCTGTAGTCCCAGCTACTCAGGAGGCTGAAGAAGGAGAATCACTTGAACCCGGGAGGCAGAGGTTGTAGCAAGCCGAGATCACGCCACTGCACTTCAGTCCGGGTGACAGTATGAAACTCTCAGAAAAAAAAAAAATCGTTGAGGTATCATTACTCTTTTTTAGTGTGTTTCAAAATCCAGCGTGTATTTTACATGTAGGCACATCCCTGGTCAGATTGCTGCCTTTTAGGCGCTCAGCAGCCCGTGTGGCTAGTGCCGCTAACTGAACTCGGCACATGGCAGGTATATAAAACGTTGCTGTTGTTCTCCTGGTCAAGGCTGGTCCCTCCTGGGCCTCCACTGCCCGACTTGGGAAGGTACACCTAGGCCTTTTTGCCACTGAAGAGAAAGGCAGGGGCTGGGAAGTCCCAGGCCAGGACTGCTGAGGAGTCGACCTCAGAGCCAAAAGGACCTGAATTGAATCCCAGCTGTCTACCTAGGCCCCTTTTGTATAAAATTGGCTAGTCCTCTGAAGTCCCAAAACCAGGAATAATTAAATGGGTAGCTCTGGCTGGGTGCCATGGCCCACACCTTTAATCCCAGAAATTTGTGAGGGTGAGGTGGGTGGATCACTTGAGGTCAGAAGTTCGAGACCAGCCTGGCCAATACGGTGAAACCCCACCTCTACTAAAAATACAAAAATTAGCTGGGCATGGAGGTGTACACCTGTAATCCCAGCTGAGGTAGGGGAATCGCTGGAACCAGGGAGGTGGAGGTTACCTGAGATCACACCACTGCACTTAGCCTGGGTGGCAAAGCAAGACTGTCTCAAAAAAACAAAAGGCAGGTAGTACCGGGCCAGTTAGCATCAGCAGGATGCTTGTCAAAAACCCAGCTGCCTGGGAATTTGAGTTTTTTAGCAAATGGCCTCTGATGACTCTGATGCTTGGCCAGATGGCCCTGTGTCAGGAGGCTGGCAGGTAAAAGAGGCCACACTGGGTTCACCCTGCAGAGGAAGCCACCATTTCTTACCTTTCCACCCTTAGGTCTCAGAGGCCATGTTGCAGGAGATGCTGCCAGAGGTCCTCAGCACTGACTTGGATGCGATGCTCAGCTGTCCTGAACAGCTGGGGCTCTTCCTCCATGAGAATGTTCCCAGGTGTGAGGGAGGTGGATGGATTTGCTCTCCCTGGGGCTGTGGGACTGCATCTGGCCAAGCCCAGATTGGCTGTGTAGCCTGGGGGTGCCCTGGCTGCTCTTGGCACACTGGCCCTTGCTGGTGAGGCAAGCATTCCCTGAGTCCCCTGCCCCCCCAGGATGGTGAACATGCTGAAGATGGCAGTGTCCTCAGTGAAGAAGGAATGAAAGCTGCCTGCCGTCGCCCTGGAGCTGCTCTACCTGGCACTCAAGGAAGACAAGTTTCTGCAGTTCTGGAAGGGGATGGTGGAACAGGGGCTGCTGAAGCTTCAGTTCTGGCCAGCCAGGTGCGTGTGGCATGTGGCCTCTCTCGGCCCCCTTCCCTGTCTGTAAATTGGGGCTGGACTACCAGTCCTGAGGTCCCTGCCGGGGGACCAAGGGCTCTGACCATGCTCGGTCCCATAGTCCCTCTTAGCTACCTGTGTTTCTGCCTGCTGGGCACCACCCTTCCCCTGCTGACCAAGGAACAGCTGCAGCTGGTGATGCAGGGAGACGTGATCTGCCATTACATGGAGCACATGTGCACGGCCAAGGTGGGCACCGCCTGTGCAGCCCGATGCTGCTGGAAGGGCTAGGGAGGTGCTCTCCTTGCCAAGAAGGGAGAGGGCACCTCAGGAGCCTGGCCAGAGACCTGGGTGTCTCCACTGTCTGGGTAGTGAGCTGCCTGAACCCCTTCCCCTCTGACAGATTGTTTTTGAGTTGGAGTTTTCTCTTGTCACCCAGGCTGGAGGGCAATGAGGCAATCTCTGCTCACTACAATCTCCACCTCCCGGGTTCAAGCAATTATCGTGCCTCAGCCTCCTGAGTAGCTGGGATTACAGGTGCCCACCTCCACACCCCAGCTAATTTTTGTATTTTCAGTAGAGAGAGGGTTTTTGCCATGTTGGCCAGGCTGGTCTCAAAACTCCTGACTTCAGGTGATCCACCCGCCTTGGCCTCCCAAAGTGCTGGGATTACAGATGTGAGCCACACTGCTCCCGGCTTCCCTCTGACAGTTTTGAAAAGGAGCGGGCCCCCACTTAGGTGTGGGTAGCCAGCGGGCTGTTCAGACCACCCTCCACCCCTGCCCATGTTGCGGTGATGAGAACAGTCGTCATGACCGTGTTTGAGCACCGGTGTGCCTGGTGCCCAGTCAGCGCTGCTGGGTTTACTGTTCTCAGCAGCTCATTTTATCTTGCAGCAAGTTCCAAGAGCTGTCATTCTGGGTGAGAGGCAGACTTGAAGCATCAGGGCCAGTGGTTAAGAGCCTGGGTTGGGCGGTGGTGTGCACCTGTAGTCCCAGTTACTCAGGAGGCTGAGGTGGGAGGATCACGTGAACCCAGGATTTCGAGGCTGCAGTGAGCCGTGATAGTGGCACTGCACCCCGGGGCACAACTGGAGAAAATTAAAATGAGAAGAGCTTGGGCTGTGAGGCCAGACGTGGTCCTGCTGGGAGCCCTCTGGCCCTGAGGAGTTTTTATTCTAGGCATTTTTGTGTCTCACTTTACTCACCTACACAATGGCAGTAATGGCCAAGCGCAAAGGGTTGCTAAAATGCTAAGCCGCCAGACAAAAAGTGGAACACGGGTCCCTGGCCCCGAGGCAGCGCATTAGAGGTGGTTGGGTTGGTCCCAAGATGACACAGTGAGAATTGGTGGCGTAGGCCTTGAACCTGGGTCAGTCTGGCCTCTTAACCACTGCTCTGCCTGTGCTTGAGCCAGGAAAACAGGCCATCCCCCCTCAGCAGTGTGGCGAGAGGGGCCTTTTGGGGCCAGAGGCACTGAAGCTGGGGAAGTCAGACCCGGGGAGGCCTTGACGCCAGACAGAAAGCACTGGGGTGACCAGGAATGGAGCAAGCTCAGGCTCAGCCCTGCTGTGTGCCAGGGAGACCCTGGGCCTCTGTTTAACCCTAAAGGCCGCAAGCCTGTGGGCTCAGCACCATGCCTAACTCTTACAGCTCCCAAACCAGTTCAAGTTCACCCCGGAGATGGAGGAATACATGGGCACTTTCCTAGAGGGATGCTGGTATGACCCTGAGCAGGCAGCTGGCCGTGCTGGTGGCCTTCTCCCCCACCACCAACCACGGTCTCCCAGTTGGTGCCTACCTTCTGGTGGGTCGTGCGGTTCCTGAGCTCTCGGGCCCTGCAGGGCTATGTGGCCTGGCTGCAGGGCATGTTTCTCCAGCCAAACTGGACTCCTTGATTTACTTAAGCACCATAACTGAAGAAAGCTCAGGATGCATCACTGCACGTGTGAGTGGACCGTGCGAAGGACCCCATCGTCCTTCAGGAGTTAGCTTTTCTAGCCTGCAAGAGCCCAGCGACCCTGCCCCTCACCCCCCCACCCACGGTGTCCTGGCCCTAAACCATGAGCAGAGAGAGGGAAAGTACCATAGCTCTCAAGGAAACCGAGGTCCTGCACTGGCAGTTGGGAGCGGGAGAGCTTGGTTTTCTGTCTCTGATATCAGTTAAAGGAATGTCCTGTTTTTGATAATTTGTTTTTTTTTTTTTCTTTTTTCTTCCCCCCCCCCATAGAGTCCACTAAGCTGGAGTGCTGTGGCATGTGGCATGTAATCTCAGCTCACTGCAAATTCGCCTCCCGGGTTCAAGTGATCAAGTGAGTCTCTGCCTCAGCCTCTCCAGTAGCTGGGACTACAGGCACCCACCACCATGCCCAGCTAATTTTTGTTTTTTGAGATGGAGTTTTGCTCTTGTTGCCCAGGCTGGAGTACAATGGTGTGATCTCAGCTCACTGCAACCTCTGCCTCCCTGGTTCAAGTGATTCTCCTGCCTCAGCCTCCCAAGTAGCTGAAATTATAGGCATGTACCACCACGCCCAGCTAATTTTGTATTTTAGTAGAGATGGGGTTTCTCCATGTTGGTCAGGCTGGTCTTGAACTCTTGACATCAGGTGATCCACCCACCTTGGCCTCCCGATGTGCTGGGATTACAGGCATGAGCCACCACACCCGGCCTTAAGTTTGTATTTTTTGTGGAGATGGGGTTTTACCATGTTGGCCAGCTGGTCTTGAACTCCTGACCACAACTGATCCACCTGCCTCGGCCTCCAAAAGTGCTGGGATTACAGGTGTGAGCCACTGGGCACAGCCTGCTTTTGCCAGTTCTAAGTGGCTCACGTGACCTTGCCTCTGCGCCCCAGGCCTGAGCGAGCTGTGTTCTGGCTGCGGAAATGGATCATCCTCAGACTGGTGAGCCTTGTGGACAGCCTGCACCTAGGGATGGAGGAGGCCTTGACGGAGGAGGTGGCCAGTATGAGAGGGGCTGGAGCTTCCCGTGGCATGTGGTCGAGGAATGAGCCCCTCAACTCATTCTGGTTTGTGTCCTCTGGAGCCAGAAGCCTTTGGGTTGAGTCATCAGTGGGGAGCAGGCACAAGGGGACTTGGGAATTCCTCAGGAGCCTGTAGAGAAGAGACCCAGGAGGCACCCCAGCTGCAGGCGCCTAAGAGGTTCGGGTGTGCTGTGCATGCCCTGCAGGGAGCCTTTGCCCATGGGTGGCATCAGGGAAGCCTGCCCCACACCTGCCTCATCTGTGTCCGAGCAGAAGCCGGGTGCTCACCTCACCCTCAGTGTGCCCGGTCGCAGGAGGGGCTGCACTGGCCCCGTGTTTGCAGGAGCAGTGGCGTGACTCGGCCATAACCACACAGCCTCACGTCTCTTGGTTCTTTGAGGGGGGCACTGATTCTCTCTCCCCAGCTCGGGTTGAGCCATGTTCAGCTGGGGATCCAGCCCTTCCTGGCCCAGCCACCTCCAGCCTTGCCAGTGAGGGCCCTGAGGACTGTACCGAGAGCAGAAGGGGTCAGAAGGGCTCCCCTCCTCCTGGTCTTGAACCCTGGGTGGTGCCACCAGGGGAGGGGAGCCCATGGAAACAAACGGCCGTGAATGGCACCAGCTGCTCTCCCGCCCGCCCCTAATTGTGTTTGTTCACTTGTTCTTCGTCACAAAGAAGCCCACCATCCCAGATCCCTGAGACAAGGCAGCAGCTCTCCCTCCCTTTGGAATGCCAGCCCAAGAGATCGTCAGCAGCACCTTCTTCAGGTGAGCCTGGGGTAGCCTGGGAGAGGTCCAAAGGTGGAAAGGCCTTCAGGACTCCTGCTTCCTGCAGTTCCCCTATGCTGGGGACAACGGCTGAGGCCCAGGGAGTCCTAGCAGGTCCTGGAGAGTTGGGAGACCGAGCCTGGGGAGGGCAGAGGGAGCGGCTATATTCACTCCATCGGTCTGGTGACCAAGCCCTGCCTGTCACCTAGTCTGCTGCAGACCCTCAGCACGCAGTTCAAGCTGGCACCAGAGCAGACCTGGGGTGGGCAGTCCTGGACCTACCACCTGGTTCATTTCGCATACGTGCTGCTGAATCACAGTCACAGCGTGAGCCCCGTGACACCCCCCTCACTGTGCAGCAGTGCCGGCCTGGGACAGGTGCGCAGGTGGGATTTCCAGGGGTGGGCAGGACGCTGTGGTCTGATGGCAGCCAGGGCCTGAGGATCTGTCTGGCTCCTCACAGGATGCTGCAGACTCTGAAGGAGCTGGAGGCCACCTCCTCAGAGCCCAGGGCTGCCGCCTTCCAGCACCTTCTGCTGCTTGTGGGTATCTACCTCTTCAAGGTACTGTGGCCTGGGATGGAGGGGCCGTGAGCCTGGGGTCCTGCGGCTATGAGGGCTATGGGGGGGAGCCAGGAAAGGCTTGGGGAGTTATGTTGGGAGGTTTCCTAAGCCAGCCTCATCATGGGTAGAATTTATCATCCAAGGAAATGTCACTCCGGCCCCTTAGCAGGCACCAGCTGGTGTCCTGAGCTTTCCAGGCAGGCCTTCTTAATTCCCAAAACTTGAGGCAGACTCTGCTTTTCCATGTTTGACATGGGGAAACTGAGACTCAGAGGCAGAGTAGCTTGCACTGTACCCTCTGGCTCTGGGAACACCTTCTGGCCACGGGTTCTCTAGAACCACAGGGTCTCCCTCTCATTTCTTCCCATCAGGAAACCCTGACCACATTCAGCACTCAGTATCCTGATTCCTCTTTTGTTTGTCTGTTTTTTTTTGTTTTTTGTATTGATTTTGAGACAGAGTCTCCATCACCAGGTGGAGTGCAGTGGTGCAATCTTGGCTCACTGCAAACCTCTGACTCCCTGGTTCAAGCAATTCTCCTGCCTCAGCCTCCCCAGTAGCTGGGACTACAGGCGTGCACCACCATGCCCAGCTAATTTTTTTTGTATCTTTAGTAGAGCTGGGTTTCACCACATTGGCCAGGATGGTCTCATCTCTTGACCTCGTGATCCGCCCGCCTTGGCCTCCCAAAGTGCTGGGTTTACAGGCATGAGCCACTGTGCCTGGTCGTCTGTTTTTTGAGATGGAGTCTTTTTTTTTCTGTTGCCCAGGCGGAGTGCAGTGGCGTGATCTTGGATCACTGCAAGCACCACCTCTCTGGTTCAAGCAATTTTCCTGCCTCAGCCTCCTGAGTACCTGGGATTATAGGTGCCTGCCACTGTGTTGGCTAATTTTTGTATTTTTTAGTAGTGACAGCGTTTCGCCATGTTGGCCAGCCTGGTTTTGAACTCCTGACCTCAGGAATCTGCCCACCTTGGCCTCCCAAAGTGCTGGGATTACAGGTATAAGCCACTGCGTCTGCCCTTACCCTGAGTCTTAGAGAGTTTTCTTCTCACACACATGGGAAGCTCTTATCGAGGCTGCTGGTCTTACATAGCCTGAGTAAGTGGTCTCTCACTTGCCCGTCTGGCCTCTGGCTGTGATGGCTTTACTTGCCAGCTTTGGTTAGTCTGAGCCCAGCCTGTGGATGATTGTGTGGGTAAAGTTTGCCCATGATGCCTCTTCTGAGTGTTGGCGTCAGACCTTTGATAGCAGTGGAGCCCTGCTGATTCCAAGACACACGTGGAGCCTGCAACTTGAGGTCTCTGGTGTTGACTTGCACAGAGGAGGCTGCAGTTTGCTGTGCCCACTTTCAGATAAAAGGTGCAGCTGTGGCCGGGCACGGGACTCACACCTGTCATCCCAGCAGTTTGGGAGGTGGAGGCAGGTGAGTCCATCTGAGGTCAGGAGTTTTGAGACCAGCCTGGACAACATGCTGAAACCCCATCTCTACTTAAATGTAATTAGCTGGGTGTGGTGGCAGGTGCCTGTAATCCCTGCTACTCAGGAGGCTGAGGCAGGAGAATCGCTTGAAGCTGGGAGGCGGAGGTTGCAATGAGCTGAGATTGTGCCATTGCACTCCAACCTGAGTGACCGAGCAAGACTGTCTCAGAGAAAATGAATAAATTAAAAAGGTGCAGCCCAGAGGACAGGACCTGCGTGGCACACAGCCTGGGGAGCCGGGGCAGTGACCAGGGCTTTGGGCTGCTTTTCCTACCCTGGCCTAAACGTTTGCCCACTGCATTTTGAGGGAAAAGTCTGTCTTTTAGGTACCAAGATCACACAGTTGTCAAGATGCCCTGCACAGGCACACCCACTCCGCCACTTCAGTCCCTGGAGTCCAGGGCTGTCCCGTCAGGTGAGTTTCAGATATGATTAAATTAGTTGAAACTAACGACTTTCAATTCTGCCTCATGCCGAGCCAAACATGGAGGAAATCATTTTCGAATTATGAATTGGGGGCTGGGGTTTGCTGGCTACTCTGGGACCCTGACCATCCTTGTCAGCTCTGTCTGTCTTGAGTGTCAAAGTGGGAGCTGGCCTCCTTTTCTGTCCCCTGCCGGTTTTCAGATCCTGTAACTGCATATTAGGTGTAAAAAGGCCCTCACCTTGGTATTCTGGGGTCCAGCTGAGGTCTTCCATTCTGGATTCGGGTGGCTGGCTGGGCCGGCCAGTGGCTGGGCTGTTGAAGGCTTCTGGTGCCACTGCTGCCTTTTGGCCAGCCCCTTGCCTGGCTCAGAAGGGCTGTCCACAGTGCGTGTCCTACCCTGTCCCCAGTCCCCTACAGAGAGCTGTGACCTGCTGGGTGACATCCAGACCTACATCAGAAACAGCCTGGAGAGAGACGCCATGGGAGCCGCACCAAGGGCATTGGTGGGTCCTTGCT